AATAAAATTATAAACCAAAAATTAAATTTAATTTAAAATTAAAATTAGATTAGCTTTAAAAATTTTCAAAATAGTACAAAATATTTTTTTAATTTTTGAAATTATTTAATATAAATAATATCAATTTAGTAATTTATAATAATTTGAATAATTTCTATTAAATAAATCAAAATAAAATTAAGAAAGATTAAAAAAGAATTAAGGTTTTGTGTTATCTGTTGATAATAAGTCAATCTCAAATAAAGAAAAAAAATATTTAGTAAAGTAAATATTAATTATTTTATTTTATTTTTAGATTATTTTGTAATAATTTGTTATAATCAATAAAAAAAAAATATATAAATATTTCTAAAAGAATGTATATAATATTAATAACTTAACTAATTATTTTTAATTTTTATTATTATAAAAAATTATTATTAATTTATTATTTAGATTTTTAAAATAGTTAAATATATTTAATCTTCTTTAGAAACCTAAACAAAGTTTACAATTTTTACTAAGTATTATATTAGAACTAAATTTCAAACAGAATCTGAGCCTTAGGCTAGAACTTTGTTATAGTTAAGAGCTGAATCTTAGCAACTATATTATTATATTCAAAAATAGTTAAATTTGTGTTCAAATAATTAATTGATATTAATGTATATATTATATTAAAGATAAAAGAAGTAGATATATACTAAAGTACTAGGAATATGCTGTAAAGTAAGTACTGAAGTCTGTGTGAACTTGACAAGAGCATAGCAGTTTAATAGTTAACTCTAATTGCAAGTATTAGTTCTGCTATAGTGATATTTGGATTAGCTATAAAAAATATGTAAATAGCAGACTCTAGTAGGTTTACCTCAAGGATAACTGTCTTAAGATTAAGATAAAGGATTTAGGCTTGACCTAATGAAGTAACATGAGACAAGTTCAGTGAATTTAAATAAAACATCCAAGTAGGGGTGTTAGATACAGCAATTAGTAAAGAATATTAGATAAACTCCTTAAATAGATAATATAAAAAGTTATATGAATGGCCAATTGTATGCTTTTCCTGTAGTAGCTCCTTATAGAACTATATTTTTAAAAATATATTAATAAAGTCATAAGACCAAAAAGGTCATCTTAATACCAAAAAAAATATATATATATATATTATATTAGACTGAAAATTTATTAGGTATAGAAGATATTAAAAATTTATAAAAAAATTTTTCAAAAAATTAAATTTTTATATTTTATATTTTTTTATTTTTTATTTTATTTTTTATTTTTTATTTTTTTTTATATTATATTTTATATTTTTTTGTTGTATTTTTATATTTTTATTTTATAGTATTTAAAATAAAATTAGTAAAAGCAGATATAACAAAATATTATAAGAAATAATTTAAAAAAATACTAAACTAAAAAAGATATTAAAAAAATAGAAAAAATATACAAACTATAAAAACATATTAAAAAGAAATGAGATAAGAAAAATGAAGAAAAAATTAAAGAAAAAAAATAAGAAGGTACTAAGAAAGTTAAAAACAAATAAATTCAAGTATATTAAGTATAAATTATATACTAAGCAAATAAATAAAAAAGAATATTGTCATACTATAGATAATATAGACTATAAAATTTCCTATTTATAAGTTAAATAAAAGTCTTTTGCATAATATTAAACAGGTTAGTACTTAAAAGAGACATTGAGTTTGAGTAAATACTAAAAGTAAATATATTTTATTAACTATATTGTAAGACTTACTTTTCTTATATTATAAATACATTACTAATATACTTTTTCTCTATATGCTAATTATACTAATTATACTATATATGCTAATTACACTAATTATACTAAATACATTACATTTGCTACATCTATTAATTATGCTAATTACACTATATCTACTAATTATGCTAATTACACTACATCTACTAATTACATTCTATATATATGCTATATCTAATAATTACTGTATATTATTATTTCATTATGCAATTTAATTTAAATAAAATATTGATGATCCTATTTTAGATTATGACAATATACAAGAAATATTTAAAACTTTGCAAATCTATATCTAGAATACTAATAAAATAGAAAATAATACAAGTCTATCTGATACTAAAAAATATAGAGTAAAAATACAATTTAAACAATATTTGACAAATAATACTAATTGAAATATTTAAAAAAATCATAATAAAGATTATATTAATAAGACTTACCAAAACATTTATAAAAAAGATAATACTCAAAAAACCAAATTATATTAACCTTTTAAAGAACTTTACAAAACAATTAGTACACATACTAAATACATAGTCAAGTACTTTTTTATTTTATATTTAAACTAAAATAAGTAATAAATTTAAAAAGAATATGACTCTTGAAATTAGCTTTTCATTTCATTTTTATATATAATATTTATATTATTTAATTTTTATAAACTTACCAAGCTTATCTAAAAACTACAAACTATTAGAACTTTTAGAAAAAATTATTACAAACTACAATCACAAGATATGAGTTTTAATTTAAAAAATCTTGTTAAAATTTAGAAATCTTGCAATTAAAAAGAAATAAACTTGAATTATTACTAATATAATATATTGTTTAAAGTCTAATGAATTAAAACTGAAACTATTACTAAAAAAAATCAATTTATCAAAATTTGAACAGGTTAAACCAGACTTTGTTATGAACAATGTTAGCTTTGTATTTTTAAAAAAAAACTTATTTTATTAAAATCGCCGAGTTGAATTAGATTAAAACTAAAATATAGTTGTAATTTGAAATATGATTTTGACTTAAAAAAAAAAAATGTAAATATTATTTGTTTTATTAATAAAGATTATACAATTTAAATAATATCTTAATTATCTCATGAACTATCATTTCATTCGATTTAATAGTACCAAAATTATATAATTCTGAAAGATAGTTCATAAAATAATTAATTTTGAGAGAGATTTTTTATGTCAACTTTATCTCTTTTCCCTTTTGTCCTTTTCTCTTTTGTTTTTTTTCTAAACACCAAATCCAAATAATCTTAGGCAATGTATAATTAGTACAAATATAATACATTACTTAACAAACCTATAGAAAAAAAAATATAAAACATAGATTTAATTAATCTAACTAAATTATAAAACTTATTTTTAACATTACCTAAAATTTCTTAATTAAACAAGTAAAATGAAATAATATAAACTTAAATAACTTATCTTAGATGAAACTAAATAAAAAAAGTAATATAGTAATAAATATTAATGAAAGTTAAAAAAGATAATATAATAGTAAATATTAATGAAAGTGAATAGCTTAAATATATTAATTATATTGAATTAATGAGTGATCTACATATGATAAAACAGTTTTTCTTGATTTTCTTCATTACTTTAATAATGTATTAATCTTTCTAAGTTTTATTTTGCCAAAAGCTCTTGTTCAGACATATTAGTAAACACTTTTTAGATTGTAAATTTGCAAACCTAAAAAGAATATGTCAAAAGTAGACAAAATAATAACTCATATTCAAGTGTATGATATTTTATAAGAAGTTTATTTCTTATATTTTTAATATAGCATAGCTTGTAGAAACTTTAGCAATAATTTTGTCTTAGAAAACATAATGTACTTCAACTAAGTTTTTAGGCAAAAATTTAAAAAATGTAATTTCATCAATTTGTATAATTTATAAAAATTATATAATAAAATTTTTAGGTATGCCAAATCATGTGACTGGTATAGTACTGTATGCAGCACATCACAATACAAGAACCTAATATATTCATATATGAAAATTAGTTTATCATTTATAATAAAACTTATTCTTATACAAATTCAATATTAGTAACAAAAGTTTATTTAAATCCAAAATAATAAGGCAGTTTTGAACAAAAAGGTTCCTAGTTACCTTTATTCTTGGTATAATCCAATAAACGATGACATATTTGTCTAATAAAATTTTTCTGTTTTGACTTTATATTGGCTATTTTCTGTTAACCTAACTAACTTATATAAAAAACTAAGTATTTTCTTTATTCGTAGAACATGCTCTCTTTCGAATCTGTCTCAGGACAGTTCATTAACTAGCAATTAACAGAAAGTTCACAATGCTTGTATAAATGACTGGTAATAGCCAGGCTAGAAAGAGTTCCTTTCATTCATTTCTTTGAATCCATCTCAGAATGGTTTATCAATCAGTGACTAACAAAAAGTTCACAATGCTTGCATGAATGACTAGTAATAGCCAGGCTAAAAAGAGAAAAAGTGTGCATATTTTGAAAATCCTGAAAATTTAAATTAATTTATCATTATCAATTAATGCACTTCTACATGACATTAGTGATTATGATTAGTATTACACTTAATTATATAATATATATCAGTATATTTTTTTATAAATAATATGTCTTCTAAAAATCAACTTAATAAATTTAGTTTTCTTATTTTTCCAATTTTTTATCATAATGAATGACAGCTATAAACTGCAAAATAGCCTAATAGATAAGATCGATCCATACTTTTTCTCTCAAAATAATTCCTTTTCTGACTAGAATAAATAGAGTTTGGTATCCTTCTTAGAATATGCAAACAAGAAAAAAACATTGTTATTTAATAACAAAAGAGGACTACATCGAAGGTTTTGGAACTCCATAAATGTGATTTTAAAGTCAAACATGCTAGCAATTATGAAGAGAGCAATCAAGTATTTCAAGAATGAGGTGCATATAAGATATATATGCTGACTTGAGATTATGTATTTTAGGGGGTAATTGAAAGTTGCAAAATAAAAATAAAAAAGAATATGAATGTAATTATAATTACTGATATGGTGGTTTGATTAAATCAAGAATTTTATAAATTTTTTTTTAATTTTTCAAAATTTTAGAAGGCACTATCAGTGTTGGGTGCTTTTATCACAACATCATTATCTAATAATACTTTTACAATACACCATTTTGTTATATTTCTACAACATCACTTTGTAATGCATCACAACCACTATTACAGAATGCTTTTACTACAATCACTATTACAGGATGCTTTCATCATAACACCACCATCTGGTAATACTTTTACACCATTACTGCCTTATTATACTCCTACAACCTCATTTTGTAATGCATTACAATCACTATTACAGAATGCTTTTACTACAATACTACTACCTAATAATGCTTTTACAGCACTACCATCTTATTATACTTTCATAACACTACTTTGTAATGCATCACAACTACTATTACAGAATGCTTTTACTACAATGTTATTATCTGGTAATGCTTTTACAGTATCACAACTTTGTTATACTTTTACATCATTTTGTAATGTGTTATAACTACTATTACAGAATAATTTTATCACAACATTATCACTTGATAATGATTTTACAGCATTATTATTTCATTATACTCTTATAATGCTATCTTGTAATGTGTCACAACCACTATTACAAAATGCTTCCATCACAACACCACCATCTGATAATGCTTTTACAGCACTACTACTTTATTATACTTTCACAATATTATCTTATAATGTATTACTATGATCATCACAAAATATTTTTAAATATTTTTTCAATATTTATAAGACAAGTCACAAATAGATTGGCTTTATGAAAATTTGACAATACAATAAATAATATAAATATAAAATGCATACTTATGAGTTTGTATAAAAGATATTAAAAGATAAAACTGAAACTAAAACATTATTTGAATATGGCATAATTGATTTCAATGATAGCATTATTTTAGAAGCTTTAGAACAATTAGTAATATTGCATTTTAAGACAAAGATACAAGAATATAAATCTAAAAAAGCTTTATTCACAGAAGTTATAAGAGTTTTAAAAACATTTAATGTTGTAAGTAATTAAATAATAATTACAAAGGTAAATATTAACTATAGATTTTTTTTTTAAACATTCTTAGAAGATCTTAAAAAGACACTTGATAAAATTAAAATTAATTATAATAATTTGGATTGTGATATTATATATTTGTGTTGTTTTTTTAAAAAATTGTAAATATGTAGTTATAAAAATTAAAAAAAGTAACTTTTTTTAATAATGATTTTGTGCATAGTTTTTTGTTATTTTAAGATAGATCAACAATAAATCTTGATAACAGAAGACTATCAGAAGGCTGATATAATAGTTATATTATGATACCAATCTTTAATGACTGCTTCAAGTCAATGAATGAGTATATTCTTTGACAATATTTATTAAAAATTTGGGTTCTGTTTATGCTAATATTATATTATAAATCTAACTGATAAACATGTCTATTGTTTTGCTTAATAAAGATGAAGTAAAAAACTTTGTACAAAAGCTTCTTAATAAAAAATCAAAAAAAAAAATATATAACAGAATTTTATCATTTAGTAAACAATTTGAGTTTATATATATAGAAATAGCAACAACTTTTGTATTTTTAAAATTAGATAAAGATTTATCAAAGTTATATAATACTATTATTATTATGTTTAAGCATATAGTATTTATATTATTAGAAGAATTACTATCTAAGATTTTATTTATACCTATTCTTTGTATACAATTTAGCAATAAGTTAGTTTAGTTTTATTAATATAACAATTTGCTAATTACAATTTTATTTATTTAATGTGAATTTTATTTTGTTAATATAATAGAAGCAAGTGTTAAAATATATTTAGCAATCTGGTTAACAAATATGCAACCTATAGTTTTTTTAATTATAGACTTTGAAATAATAGAAAAGATAACAATATTTCTAAAAATAACAAAAGTTGCTGCCAAAATGCCATCATTGCAGGTAATTATCTTTTTATTATATCTATAAAGCATTAATATATTCTTCTAATAGTTGTCTTTATTTGTAGCCTTTTATTTAAGATTTACATAAAAGATACTAAGTATTGTTAACAAAAAATACCAACTATTATTTAGAAGATGACAACATCTGGACATTACCAATAAAGATAAAGAAAGACTTATTATTAAGTAGTTACTTAAATATTTAGCTAAAGTTTTAGATAATAAAAGTATTATATAGTTATGTTTTACTTTATTATATACAAACTATATACTTCAATAGAATAATAAGAAATATAAATATGCTTATATTTTAATAAACATAAAGTCTAATATTATTCTATATCTATACTTAAATTATGTATAATTTATCTGTTTGAATAATGAAGACATAGTCTAAAAATAAACTTTTAATCAATAAAACATTAAAAATCATATAGGTTTGTAAATTTTATTCACAGAAATTTACTATAAAAAAAAATTAATATGTTATAAAGTTTAAAAAAATTATTATAAAAATTATTTTTAACTTCAAAAGAACACTTATATATATTTATTGTTATAGCTAATACTAATTTTAATGCTTATATAATATATAATACCAAAATTTGATTATTATATACAGAGTTTGTTTATATTAGAATTAGTGTTAAATTAGAGTTAAATATTAGATTATAGTTAGAGATCAGTAAGCTATATAATAAAATCACAAAGAAAACCTTTTTTGCTAATACATAAAAGGCTGTTTTTATGCAAATTTTTGATTAATATTTGTTTTAAATTTTAGATTTAATATAGCTTTGCAATTGTATAGATAGAAATATATAATAATAATTAACAATATAAATAAAAAATAGTAGTACAACAATTGTAATAACTAAAAAATAAAAATCTTTAAAATTTTAAATAAATAAATAATAAAATTTCTTAAAATTTTTCTTTAACAAATACAAATATAAGTAACAATTAAATAAATTTATTAAGTAAAATATTACTTAATTAATAATAATTTTAAAAGATAGTAGCATTTTTAACAAAGGCAGTAATAATTAAAATATAATTTTTATTTGATAATATAATTAAATATAATTAATAAAGAATAGGATATAAGTTTCACTAATATGTAATTTATTTAATTAAATTATATAATTTGATTGACTAATTATAAGATACAAGACAAGTTGAGTTCAAATTATAGATCTATTATAAATAGGATCAGATTTAGATCAGATTTGGATTGAGTTTGGGTTTTGTTTATTGACCTATAAACCTCGATTATACCTGATATAATTTTAAATAAAGTAGCTATTGTAATATAGTTACACTAAAAACTAAAAATAAAAACAGATATAGTAGTTAACAAATAGCCCAAATAAGAACTAATCTAGCATCTCATTAATATATTATAAAGCATTTGATATATACTATAAAGCAGTTAACTTGTATTAAACAATCAAACAAAAGTTTACAAAGCAACTATAATATATTATCAAATTATTAGATTATCTAAAAGATTATTTTGCTATTAACTTTAACAATTATTAAATATTAAATAAATAGACAAGTTAATGGATGCTGGTCCAAAAAAATAACCTACTATTAATGATATTTATAATATACTTATTGATTAAAATGAAATTATAAAAAGTTCAGATAATATAAAACTTTATCAAAACATCTAGACTTTATATATACTAACAAACTTATTAATATATAAAGAATATCAAATATAGTTAAAGATAAACTGTAAAATTTTTCTATTTATTTATTTAAATCTAATTATATTATATTAGCAGCTTTAACAAGTTAATCTATTATTTCTGTTAATGTTCTGATTTGTATATATTATTATACTTATAGTACTTAAAATTATAATTTTTTAATAAGATGGTTGCATGACATATTTATACTAAAAACTAAGAACAAATGCAAATATAGTAGTTAGAAAATAGTTTAAGTAATGTACAAATAAACCTGATCTAGCATCTTATTAATATAGTGTAAAGCATTTAATATATGCTATAGGTAATTAACTTTTATTAGCTAATCAAAAAAAGTTTACAAGGCATTATGTAATAAATTATTTAATTATCTCATTAACTAAAAATTATTTTGCTATTATATTTGTAATTATTTAACAGTACATAGCATTAGATTAGGTTAGATTAGTCAGGTTAGATTAGATTTTGAATCAGACCTAGCCTAAGCTTAATAAAAAATTTTTATATTGAATTAAGGTCAGAGTCAGGTTAGGTTTAAATAAACTTGACCTGTTCTATTTTGTACTCTAGCTAATTATTATAAAATTACAGATAGCTTAGTTAATCAAATAAATGTTTTCTTATAATTACAGCATTAATAAAAATCTTTAAAGTTATTTGTAATCTTTAAAAACTTATTAATATTTATTATACAAAAAGATTTACTTTTATTGATTTTTTTTTTTAATATTTAAATACAATATACTAAAAATGTTAATTACAAATTTGTTTACTGTTATAGAAAAAGTAAATATTAATTATTAATAGTTTATGTTAATATTATTAAAAAACATATTAGCATATTGATATTTTATTAGATTTAAAAGTTATATTAAAACAAAAAGTTTAATTATCAAAACAAAAAATATAATTACCAAATTAAAGTGTTAAAAATTTATATAATAATAGCTTTTAAAAGACTTTTAGATATAGCATTTTGATAATAATAACTAAATATATTTTAATAGATAATTAACAAAAAAAATATATAAACAAAAAGTATAATTATTTAAACATAAAGTTTTATTATTAAAACAGAGTTTTAAAGATTATATAATTATAGAATAATAACTTTTAGTAAACTTTTAAATTTATCAGACTTTAATATATTTTGTTAATAATCTAAATTGTATATAAATAAGACTTACCTTTTAATAAATAAATCTATAATTTTTGTTCTTTTTATTCTTATTTAAAATTCTTTAGCTTGCTTATATATTCTTTTATTTTATATTTTTATTTATCTATGATTTTTTTACTTATATATTTACTTGTTTATTTTTACTTATTTATAATTCTTATTATATGATAATAAAGTACTAAAAAAAATCTTTTATTAAAAAAACTAATAAAAAAGCAAATTATTCTAAACACTTAACAACTTGTTCTTTTAAAACTTGCTATTGCAATAGCTATAACAGTAAACTTGTTAATCTATATATTAGAAAAGCTTATATAACAAAAAAATATTAACTTCTAAAGTTAATAGCATAGTAGTTATGTTTCAAGATCACAAATTGCAAGGCTGCTGGTTCAAATTCTAGTGATGGCAATTGTAGAGATATACTTCTAAAAATAGGGAATTGCAATATTATAGTACCAGAAACTTAGAACATTTAAGGATGAACTTATTTTCAAAAATGGCAAGTGATCTATAGTTAAGAAGCCACATAGTAACAGATATGAGTTAGAGCCTGATTTGAAATAACCAAAGTTATGAGACATAATATGAAGTTAAAAGTCTAACAATAAAAGATACTACATAAACTTATAACAACAGTTGGTTCTATACAGAGCCTGGTAAAGCCTTTTGATTCCAATAGAAGTCAGTGTAATAATTGCTTCTAGAAAGTTTAAAAGTACAGACTAGGAAAAGTCAAGATTCAATGATCCTTAAATATTGAGAACATTAGTTTAGAAGAAGTATAAAAAACATGAATAAAAATCTCAGCAAGATTGTTAAAAAGAGAAAAAAAATAAAAAAATAAAAATATTATTAATATAATATAAGATTATTATGATGCTAGTAAGTCTTTAAATAAAGCAATTGTTATCTCTATAATAGTATTTTCAGAAATGAATATTTTAGAATAATTTTCATAAATAGATATTTTTAAAAAACTTCTGAAAATAGATTTTTATAAAAAAAGTAATGCATATTGATAGTTTAAACAATAACTTATATAGACATTATTTTAGATTTATTACTAAAAATCAATTTTAAAAAAAATAAACTAATTAAAAATAAAGAAAAGAGAAGTATATAAAATCTTATTTTTGTAAAGAATTTATTCTCTAATAAAGAAAAAAACATCACTA